CAGCCCTGTGGCATGGGGGTGTCGGTCCCTGCAGGGTCAGCAAGGCCCCAAGATGTCAAAGCATCAGAATACAGAAAATAAGAGACCTGGTTCAAGACCTACCTAGGAGGGGCCCAGGGCTCCGTGGCAGGACAGGCCCGTGAGTTCACTGGGGCACCGCTGGCTCTAGCTGTGTTTCCACTACAGAGGGAGGTTGGGAACCTAGCAGGAGGCCAGGGGAAACTTGGCTTGGCCGTCAGCCGCGCGTCTCCAGGCACTTCGTGTGACAATGGCAAGTGCAGATGTGGCTCACAACCCGGCCGACCATGCCCCCTGCCCCGGGTCCTAGGAGGAGGCTGTCACGTGTGGGTGTATTTAGAGATCTGAGAGCCCTGTTTGTCTTAGGCCATAATGAGAGTTAACAGAAACCTTTTAGGTTTTTAACATTTCTAAACAACTGTTGCAACCTCACTTGGCCCAGAATGGCTGTTGGTAGAACAGAATGTACTGTAGTTTTAGTGGGGGGAGGAAAAAACAACAAAAACCAATTCTCTGTGGATTTATGAAAATAAACAGAATCAATGAGCAAAATTTGTTGGGGAGGCCTATTTGTCACACTCAGGAAGCTACAATCTCATTTTACTTGCCACTGTTGCTCTAGCATTGCCATTCGTTTGCTGAAGGCAAAATACATTACTTCTAACAAAAGTGGCCCCGTGTCCTGCTCCCCTGCCTTCCTGCAAACATTAATAACCAGCTGACTTCTTGTGTGTGCGTGTGTGTGTGTGTGTGTGTGTGTGCGTGTGTGTGTGTGTTCTTCCTGTTACCTTTTTTGGGGCTTACCGACAGAAATGTATTTTCTCTTGGTTATGGAGGCTGTGAGTCCAAGATCAAGGTGTCGGAAGATCTGGTTTCTTCCGAGGCCTCTCTCTAGACCAGCACATGTGGCTGCTTTTCGCTTTGTCTTCTCGTGGTTATCCCTTAGTCTGTGTTGTCTGTGTCAGAATTTCTTCTTCTTAAAAGGACACTAGTCATGTTGGATGGGTGCCCACCCATGTGACCTCATTTCAGCTTATTTACCCCTTTAAAGACCCCGTCTCCAAAACCAGCACACTCTGATCTTCCTGTTTACTTTTTAAAAATTGTTTATTTATTTATTTTATATCGAAGTACAGTTGAGTTACATTGTTGTGTTAGTTTCAGCTGTACAGCACCGTGATTCAGTTTTATATATATTTTATATATAAATATTCTTTTTCAGATTCTTCTCCCATATAGGTTATTACAGAGTATTGAGTAGAGTTCCCTGTGCTATACAGTAGGTCCTTGTTGGTAACCTATTTTATATTTAGTAGTGTGTGTATGTTAATCCCAAACTCCTAATTTGTCCCCCACCCTTTTCTCCTTTGGGAAAAGACAAATATCATATGATGTCGCCTATATGGGGAATCTTAAAAAAAAGACAAATAAACTTATTTACAAAACAGAAAGAGACTCACAGACACAGAAGACAAATCCATTGCCTTTGAACGTGGAACTTCCTCAGGACGTTTTCAGGGAAAATGCTGTGTCTCGGGCTGCTTCACATGGGCGTCTGCATGTCCACGGGTTTGCCTTGCCTTGTACAAGCCTGTGGTTTGCAAAGTCCCACCATAAATTAGGAACAGGAAAAGGGAGGAAGCACGGGTCACTATGGAAAAAAAAGTGTTTTGGGTTTTTTTTTAATAAATTTATTTACTTATTTATATTTATTTTTGGCTGCGTTGGGTCTTCACTGCTGCACGCGGGCTTTCTCTAGTTACAGCGAGCAGGGGCTACTCTTCACTGTGGTGCGCGGGCTTCTCATTGCGGTGGCTTCTCTTGTTGTGGAACACAGGCTCGAGGCGCGTAGGCTTCAGTAGTTGTGGCACACGGGCTCAGTAGTTGTGGCTCGTGGGCTCTAGAGCACAGGCTCAGTAGCTGTGGCACACGGGCTTAGTTGCTCCGTGGCATGTGGGATCTTCCCGGACCAGGGCTCAAACCCGTGTCCCCTGCATTGGCAGGCAGATTCTTAACCACTGTGCCACCAGGGAAGTCCTGCTTGGTTTTTTTTAACTTCATCAAGAGTCTTGTAAAATCATTGCTTTCATCAGGTTCTCCTGGGGCCTTGAAACTATCGTTGGGTGCAGGCCAGTTTATGGAAAGTTTATTGTTTCCTGCGAGGCAAGCTATGTGATTCTTCCCTGGGGGGCTGAGCCCTGGCAGCACTAGGAGGTGTCCACCCAAACGCAAAGCCCCGCCCTCCTCCCCCTCACACTCCTCCCACCTGGTGCCACAGACGTGCCCTTGGAGTGGACGGCTCAGGCCTGCTCATCCTCCCCTGGGAGCCCTGAACCCAGCCCACTGCTGAGTCGTGAGCACGCTAACAACCATGAGTGGATCTGCCATCCAAATGATTTGTCCACATTATTTTTATACCTGACAGTTTATGGGAAATGGGTCTTTATTTTTTCATTGGAGAAATGACTGTTTTCTTCAGTTTGGCGTTTCCAGAGAGCCATTCACATTTAAAGCTAATATTGGAACAGCAGGTTTCCACTGAAAATATTTACCTTTTCCTTGTTGGCAACTTGTCAGTGTTGGGGAAAATAGATGCTTCATTGAAATCTAAATACATTATGCTTTTCTTTCTCACATGTCAGTCACAAGCTGAGGAGCATTGTGAGAAGTGTTGGGAAAGCATTCTGGTCTTCGTTTTTACTTATTTTAGATGTCATCTGGCGTCTTGTTCTTGTTCAAAAAGAGACATCCCAACGCCTATCACTGGCGTGGAGAAGCCCTAGGATAGCAGGTTAAATGTCACCCCTAGGACATCAGAATTGATTGTGGCTAGTGTGACCGGCGGGGTCTCTTGCCCAGGAAAATCCATTGCCAAACAGAAGGGCATAAAGAAAGCAGCTGCCATTTCTCAAAAAGCACAGGGCCCCAGGGCCTTAACAAATATTTAATTCTCCCGACTACCTTGGCAGGTAAGTATTGTGGAAAACAAGGGCTCGGACAGTTTGAGACCCTGGGCCAAGGTCACACGCAGCCGAGATGAGATTCCAGCCCAGGGCTGTGTGACCCCTGCTCTCTTCCCCCAGCTGTGAGCTGCTCTCTATTTTGCCTGGGGCCCCGCCTCTGCCACACCACATGGCCAACGTCCTGTACTGGTTATGGCCCCTCCTTGGGGTTCATGGCTCCAGGAACCTCTGGGCCCAGTGTCTCTGACGCAGCCAAAGAGACGAAGGCCCTGGGCACATAGACTAGCAACTGGGAAGGATGGTACTTTGGGCTACTCTGAGTCTCCTCGTCCACCCAGAAATCTGAGAAGGCAGAAAGTGTGATGAGCTGATGCAGCAGAAGTGGCCCCACCCCACGACAGATGCTCACAAACCCAGAAAAGATTTGGCCCTCATTATAACCCCCTTGATCTTCAAAGGGAAATTGGCTCCCACTCTCTTGAAATTAAGAACCTCTGTTTATCAAAAGACACCGTAACAAGTGAGAAGACAAGGCATCAACTGGGAGAAGATGTTTACAACATACCTAACCAAGAAAGGATGAATTCCCAGTACAAGCAAAGATAAGCAGTGTATTATGCATAGTTGTATTAAAACACCCGTTTTTAAAGGCAATGGAAAGACTAGTCCAAAATTCTGAGCAGTTTCCTCCATGAGAGGCAGGGCTTGGGTTGAGGCCACAGTGGTTCAAGTTCATATTTTCCCAAGATGAATGTTCATGTGTGTCTGTTATTTTATTAGGCTTTATAACTAACATGTTTGTGCCAGGCAATCCTTCATACATGTCAAATAGTAAATGTTTTAAAAATAAAGGTAAAAAGTAGTTACTGACAACCCCCAGAGGTAGGTTTCACTATCCCCGTTTTTACAGATGGGGTCAGACTAGCTGCTGACACACACCTGCACTCCAGGCACTTTATATGAACCGTCTTTTTTAGTGTTTATGGCACCTCTATAGATACAATCATTTTCATCATCACAGTTTATAGAAAACAGAAGCTTAGTGAGACAAGGTAGCTCTTGCAGTCACTAGCTGGTCATGACTGGTGGTCAAAGCAGGGCTTCCCCCGTGGCCTGCCCCATGTCCCTCTCGTGCGTGAGGGGGTGACAAGGCGTCTACCCCCACTTGTCCTGTGCTGCAGTCTCCATGTCTGAATGATGGTGGCATCCCCACGCTGTCTACTGCCAGGCACCTGAGGTTCTGAATCACTCGGGCGGTCATAGACCGGGAGGCCCAAATCACAGACAGTTACGTCCCACAGTTCTGGAGGCTATAAGTCCAAGATCAAGGTGCTGGCCCGCTGGTTCCCCATGAGGCCCACGTGGTGGCTGGCAGACGACCACCATCCGTGTCCTCACGCGGTGGAGGGGACAGGAAGCCAGCGAAGGGTGCTAATCCTGCCCTGGGTCCACCCTCCTGACCTCACCTAAACCTAGTTACCTCCTAAAGTCCCACCTCCAGATGCCCTTACCTCGGGGGTTAGGGCTGTAGCATGTGAATCTGGAGGGACACAAGCGTTCAGTCCATGGTAGGCGGGGATGAGGGGAAGGAAAATAGATGGAGAGCTGGCAGGTAAAGCGGGTGGTGTTGAAATCTATCTCTGCTGCTCCCTTTTAAGGCCGTCCAGCTATAAGGAGCTGGTTCTCTGATGACCTCAGCCCCTTCCTCGATCAGCACCCATGTGTCTGTGAGTACTCTTGTTGAGTTTTTGATGTCACCCGGGCCTAATCTCACTCTTGTTTTGCCGTGAATGTCTCTGACATTGTGTTTGAGTACAGTTTCGAGGTTCTAAGGGTAGGAATTTCCAGTAGCTTGGTGTCCCAGCTAAGCATGGGGCCCGGATGCTATGCCCAGCTCCCCGGACAGCTGTGCGGGGACCACGGTCCACACGGGGACCAGTGGCCGTGCGGGACCAACATCCGCATGGAACCCCCCACCCACCCACCTTCCATGCAACTGTCACGGGCCTGTGCTTCCAGGCATCCGCATGCTGGACGGAGACGTGACGGACGTGGTGGAGGCCAAGTCCCTGGGCATCAGACCCAACTACATCGACATTTACAGCGCGAGCTGGGGGCCAGATGACGACGGGAAGACGGTGGACGGGCCTGGCCGACTGGCCAGACAGGCCTTCGAGTATGGCATTAAAAAGGTGTGAGTAACCCAGAGCTGCGAGGGAGCCTCAGGGATGGGGGGAATAGTGAAAATATTTAAAAGTGAGAAATCAGAAGGAATAAAGCCAAAAAGAATATTAAAAATACTCTCAATCCGACAAACCCAAAGATGATCTTCCAAATGCTCTTTTAACTCTTCTATGCATATAGAAGGAACTGGGTTCACTCACCTTTTTTAGAAACAAATATGGGACCATCTTCATGCTGTTTCGCAGTATGTCTTATCAAACAACCAACATGTCATATAGTTAAGAAGAAATCTTGTCACATAGGTAACAATAAATAAACTTGAGGGACTTTCCTGGCGGTCCAGTGGTTAAGACTCTGTGCTTTCACTGCAGGGGGGCGTGGGTTCCATCCCTGGTCGGGGAACTAGATCCCACATGCCGTGCAGTGTGGCCCAAAAATAAATAAATAAATTTGAGCAGCATACACACAAAATCAGAGTGACACAGGGGAGAGCCCCAAAGCAGGACGGCGATGGTGCCAGGACCAGAGCGAGGGAGAAGTCATTTGGGGGCTCAGGGAAGTGGCTGTCCACCAACGAGAGCAGAAGGACATCACCTCATTACAGAGTAGCTGTTCCAGAGAGTACCAGCTGGTCACTCACCAGCCCCCTGGCTCTGAGCCTTGGAGCCTGATTGCCCCCAGCTGAGGGGTATATGCAGGTGGGTGGTGGGGATCCTAGACTAACCACTTGGCCCGTTAACTGGGACAGTGCAGGCGGAAGGGGTGTCTGGGCCTCGGTCCACCTGCTCACAGGAACCCCGAGCCGTGGAGCTGTCTGCGTCCATCATGGGGAGTGTGCTCACCCAGCACCCCCGAAGCAGCAGGTCTTGGCCATGTTCCCTCCTTGCCAGCTCGCAGCCCAGTGTGTTTGGGGTGGACCCCACTGGGGGCTACACCAAGCAAACATCTGAGCATGAGCCCTCCACCCACCGGCTGAGGGGGAGCAGAGGAGGCTGTCAGGCTCCTCTCGGGAGGTCCAGCCCAGTCACTCTGTGGTCATCAGTTCTGGGTCCTTGTGAGTCAGAAAAGCCTGGAGATGTCCCAGCTCTTACAAGCACGGTGGCAAGGCAGATTTATGGGCGAGGACAACTTCTTGGAGCAGACACAGAGCTGTGGTCAGCGTCCGGGTGGCCCTGGGAGGCCCGGCGATGCTGGCAGGGTTGGGTCAGGAGGTCCAGGCATCCCCAAGGCAGGGTTTATACCTCTGACTTCTACAGGAAACAGGACGGGGGGCCAGGTCAAGCCCATTTTATTATCTATATTTTTTAAACATTTTTTTAAAGTTCTTACCTTATTGTAAACCATGCATGATTAAAATGTGGTTAATAAATAAAATAGTACCAGAGGATTATAGTGAAAGCAGCCCTTATCACCCTCTGCCCATCCCCCCGTGGTGCCCCACAGAGGATCAATCCTGAATTCTGAGCAACACTGGCTTCATCCAGCTCTCAGGGGAGTGTGGAAGGTGCGGAGAGGACCATGTGGTTCTTGTCACAGTTTCTTGAAATACTGAAGTTACTTCATTTTTTTTTTTTTAGTCATTCTGAATAAAATATGCCACATAGGGAGCCTTAGATCACAGCTGTCTGAAGTTGTCACTGAAAATGCTCCTAGAGATTTGATGATCTCAGACCGAACCACATTCTCCCATCTGTTTTTCCTCCTCGATGCCCTGTTTGTCACCTATATCCTTTTTCTGTAAAATCTGACTTCATCTTTGGTAGATGGTGTGGGTTGGTGGTAGGAGACGTCAGACCCTATACTTTGGCATAAAGATGTGTTTGATGTTGGTCCTCATGTGGCTTGTCACCCAGAAGGGGAGAGTCAGTGTCACTGTGGCTGAAAGCACTGGCTTTGTCCAGATGCCGGGCATTTGCTAGCCCTCTGAGTCCATGGATGAGGTCTCCGCTTCCCAGGCAAGATGTTCAAATACGTTCCGAAGGTGTTGAGGTGTGGTGGCTTCCTGAACAGAAGTGCAAGTTCATAGCCAGGGTTGAAACGTCCCCTGGAGCCTCTGTCCTGTGGCTTCCATAGGAACAGAAGACCCGGAAAGTGAAAATGCAGTCCTCAGAGATGGCTCAGACCTGGGTGTTTCCTCTGCCTCATTCCCACATTCCCTTTCCAGGAAACTGTTTTCAGAAGGGAAAGAGACTTTGGACACCTTGATGCCTGTGAGAACTCATGGGTCTAGTGGTACCTGCAAAGTGCAAGGTGAAGAGATGCAAGTCTTTGGCATTTAGGCCTCTGTTATTCAAAGTGGGGTCCCAAGCAGCAGAGCTGGCATCACCTGGGAGCCCGTCAGAAGTGCAGAATCTTGGGCTCACCTGGACCAGCTGAGCCCAAGTCTGCAATGTAGCAAGACCCCCAGGGATTCTTCTCACAAGTGTGAGAAGTGCTTTTTGAGGTCATTCTCCATGCTGCTGGAGCAGTAAGGTCGCTTGCCCTGCTTTGCAAAATGACAGCCTTTGATAAGTAATTTGGAGTGAGGTGAGGAGTTGGAGGTGAAATAAAGACAGGCTCTGATGGGTTCAACACCCTTTCATTCCAATTTTCGTTGCTTTGAACAAGCTTCTGATTAATCTTTTCCTACAGGTAGTTATGGACACAGACACATGCATGTCCTTAGTCCTTTGTGCCTTTTTTTCCAGAAGGTTGCCATTTTTGCTAACTGTAAGTAACCTTTCTGTCGAGCTGTTGGCAGTTTGGGCAGGTCTACCTTCGAGATGTGGGAAACGGAGTGGATGAGGCAGTTTTGAGCCCTGGGACTGGGCTGTCCCTCGAGCCTCAGGTTGGAACTGGTGCAGATGTGGGAGTGAAGACAAATAGGCACAAAAGGGTGGGGACCTGTGGTCTACTTGGCCCAAAAGTGGGGTGTCCTGGTGCTTCTGGAGCAGGTGGGTGCCCTCAGTCCGGGTGGACTTGAGCTCCAAGGGTGTGTCAGGCATCCTGTCAGAAGCAGGGCTTCAGTCAGGCTACAGGGAATTGTGGGATTTTGTTGAAAATTTTCTTTAAATTGGCCAGTTGTTGGGCGTAAGTGTCAGCTTCCTCCTGTGTGTTTGGACAGGAGTATCCTTGGCAAGGATGCCGGAGCCACCAGCCCACGTGGAGACGGGTATTGGCACCTCTCTCTGGGGCTGGCTGTGCCCACCAACAGTCCAGCCTTTCGGACCGAACGGGTCGGTTCCGTCTTGGAACTGGTGTTCTTCTTTAGCTGGTGTTTGTGGCTGGGATGAGTGTTGGTTGGATCCCATGGGTGTGGGTTGGAGAGACTGCAGGAGCTCCCCTGACCTGCTACTGTCTTACAGAGACTTGCTGTCACGTGTGTGTCCTTAAATGTGAAAACCTACACACAGGTGAAGCCGCTGGCCTTGGTTGCGCTGGCAGTGTGGCCGCTTCAACGCTGACCCATGGGGAAGCCCCGGGGCACTCTCCTAGGATGGCCCCGGGGTGTTCTGGCCCTTGGCCCTTGTTCCTGCAAATCCTGGGCCCGCCGCTTTTCAAGGAGCTCTTCTCCAGGAAGGATGCTTCTGCAGCTGGGTTTTCAGGAACTTTTGCCCTCTTCCTAAGCCAGAAAAATTAACGTCATAAATTCAGTCGTCAGCTTTCATCTCAGTGTACTTGGGGTCGCTGCTTGGTCTTTCTGATCGTGGGTCATTGCAGTGGAAATTACTGGTGTTGCTCTGGGACAGAGCAGCTTGTGTGAGGGCCTTGATTTTCCCGTGAAGAACAGGGAGGACTTTCTGGGCCAGCTTCTCAGTATGACATTGTGATTCTATGGTGTCATGGCTGTTGCTGCCAATACTCTATGAAAATTGGAACGCCAGAGCCCATCAGCCCACAGACCACGCACTGGGCGGCCTCTGTCTGGTCTGAGTGCATCCTCCTCGGCCCCCTCCCTCTTCAGGGGCAGAGGGGGATGCCGGACAGGGGTGAGACCAGCTGGGGGTCCATGTGGGCTGACGCCTGTCCTCTCCCCTCCAGGGCCGGCAGGGCCTGGGCTCCATTTTTGTCTGGGCGTCGGGGAACGGCGGCCGAGAGGGGGACCACTGCTCCTGCGACGGCTACACCAACAGCATCTACACCATCTCCGTGAGCAGCACTACAGAGAATGGCTACAAACCCTGGTACCTAGAGGAGTGTGCGTCCACCCTGGCCACCACCTACAGCAGCGGGGCCTTCTACGAGCGCAAAATCGTGAGTCCTCGGCGGAACCCCGGGGGATGAGCTCTTTGTCCCATTCTCAGGAGGACGGGCCAGTCAGGGCAGTGTGTACCTGGCCCCGGGCCCAGCCTTGCCTTCAGGGAACTAGTTGTGCCTCAAGGTAAACCCCAGGCCCTTGGCAACCTTCCTCAGACCTTGCCTTTCTAATTTTGGCACAGAATACCAATTAAAACCCTCTCTGTCTCTAGGGATCTAAAAATAGCCTTTAAGAACCGGGTGTATTCTCAGCACTGTGTCTTTTTTTAGCTTTCTATGTTCTGTGGTCACATTGCTTGGGATCCAACTGGCCAGTTCAGTTTCAACGTGCAAAACAGAGTGAGAGAAAGTCTTGCTTCTATACGGAAACAGTTTAGAAATCCGGGTGTCCTAGGTGTTCCCTCCTCACAAAAGGACTTTTCCAGACACTTCAGTTTGAGAGCGGTTTCTGTCGGTTACACTCACTTCAATGAACATCAGTGCGGTTTATCTTTTAGAAAGTAACTTTTAGTTTAGTGATGGGTGAAGTTTGTGCTTGTTCCTTCCCTACGTGCTTTCCTACTTTGAAAAAATGTAAGAGGGGAGGGTTTCAAGTTGAAATCAATGCAGAATTCAAATGCACAGTCGTTAGGATGGTTTTTAGACCTTGAAAATAAGGAGACCGTGGAGCTGGCCAACTGGTTTAACCTGAAAGCTCACTGGCGTCTTTTCATTTCTCCTGTTCCCTGGCCACATCTTTAGACATTACTTGTAGGCGTATTTTTACATTTTTCTGTGGGAGCGTGCAGGCTTCCCGTTCCCTGATTTGCTCTGCACCAGTGGGAAGGTCAGCGGCGATCCTCCCACCGCCAGCCTGGCAGCAGCCCAGGCTGTTTCACGAAGGTATTAATTTATTTTCCTTTTCTACTGGACTGTGCACCCCTGGGATGGGGCTGAGATTCTGAATGGTAACCTGTTCATTTAGGAATCTAGCTCATTTGAACACGGACTTGCTGGAGTCTCATTAAGCAGAACCTGACAGAGGCCTTGGCTGGAGGGGGCAGGGAGGTGCTGTGTCCCCGGGAGCTCTGTGCTGGGTGGATGCCATTCACCATCCCTGGGAGGTGGGCTTGCAGCTTTATTTGCTTAATTAATCACACGGCATCTGCAAGTGTGTACGTGTGCATGCGTGGGCACACGCCTTAGCTGCAAAATGCCTTAATTTCTTTTTCTTTTTTAAAAAAATTCTCTGAGCCCTAATGTATGGTAATGTATGCCCTCTGTCGTTGGGCAGAGGGTGAAAGAGAAAATCACACTCCATTGCAGCTGCTGTCCTGGTGCTCGTCCCTGGTAGTACGGGTGGCAGGTTGTTTTTTGTTTTGGTTTTTGTTTTTTCCCCCAACTCAACAAGGCCAGGTGTTTCCTCTGAGTCCCTTAGAGACCCTGCCAGGGGGTGAGCCCCTTCCCTGGATGGTGGGCAGCTTGCATATGCACATTCAGGCAGGTGTCCATGGAAATTGGAGCTCGGGCCCCTCATCCTCTTCCGTTGCTACAATCTAGCGAGTACCGACCTGCAAGGGATTGCCCGGTACTGAGACAGGGCTTGTGATACAATAAGTTGCACCTAAAGCGGCATCTCTCCCTCATTCATTCACTCACTGAACACAGCCAAGTACCAAGCAGGATGTAGAGTTTCAGGAAGGGGCTGCCCACCTTGGTTCAGCCATCCCCTCCCTGTGGGGAGGCCCCTCTACTCATGCCCCTTTCTCTGAGGCTGGAGAGCCAGCCACGGGCCTTACCTGCCCTTGGGAGCTTGGTCTCCTGCCCACACAATCTCACTTTCCCTCACTGGCCACCTTTGACTGAGTACAAGTATGTGCCAGGTGCCAGCTGTGCTTTCACAGGAGCCCCGTGAAGGACTTGGCATTAAGCCCCTTTGCAGATGAAGATCCTGGGGTCAGAGAGGTTGCATCCTCATCCCTGCTCCCTTGCCCTCCCCAGTGTCAAGGTCCTGCTGAACTAGGAGGGGGGAGGAGGCTGGTCTCCACCAGCATCCCTGTCGAATCTTCCTCTGTGTGTGTGACACGGGCTGGATCCCTCTCACTGGTAATGGTCGGCCCAGCTGAATCATGAGGAAGGAAAATGCTGTGTTTGGAAGAGGATCTGGACTGTTACCATGGGGGAAATTCATTCTCAAGGGTTTTGCAGATGGGTTGCTGGGGCCTTACAGTTGGTGGGTATATTAGTCTCCTATTGCTGTCATAACAAATTGTCCCAAACTTTGCAGCTGGAAACAGCACAGCTGTGTCATCTCACAGCTCTGTGGGCCAGAAGTACTGCAGCCTCCACTGGGTCTCACAAGGCTGATGTCCAGGTGTTGGCTGGGCTGCATTCCTTTCCAGAGGCTGGAGGGAGAATCCATTCATTGTTCATCCAGGGTGTTCACAGAACTTAGTTCCTGGTGGTTATAGGACTGAGCTCCTGTTTCCATGTGGGCTGGCTGCCGAGGGCTGTTCCCAGCTTCTGCGGGCCACCCATGTTCCTGGCTTTTGTCCCCCCCCCAGCGCCCTCTTCAAAGCCAGCAGGGAGGGTCAGGTCCCTCCTAAGCCTCATCTCTCTGACAGACTTTTAAGGGCCCTGTAATTACATCGGGCCTGCTAGGTAATCCAGGATAAATCCCCAATTTAAGTTCAGCTGGTTAGCAGCCTTAGTTCCACCTGCAAAATGCATGGGAGTCACACTAGGGCCAGCGTCCCATCCAGCACAACAGGCGTCTCCCAGCTGTACCCACGCGTGCTTCTCCGTTTCAGTTCAAAGGGAAGGTGCAGTCAGGCTGGACTGTGGTGAGGCCCAGAATCAGTGCCCACCCCCGTCACCAAGGGACACAGGTGTAGCTCCTGCTGCAGACAGAACTGGGTGCTCTGGGACACTGTCAGCTACCTCGGAGGACGTCCTGATGGAGAGAGTGCTCTGTGACCTTCTCTGACCAATGGCCGACCTCTGGCTCACGGCAGAGATGCTCTCTGGGCCAGACGGCACCTGCACGTGTTTCCCTGCTCTGAAGTCTGGAGTGACTTGGGGGTTGTTGATGGGGGCCCTGGCAGGGGGTCTTGCCGTGGAGGCCCCTCTGTTTCATTCTGTCTCTCTGTTGAGTCTCGGGCTGCATCTGCAGTGGTGGGGGGCTGTGGCCTTGACCCCCTGTTCCTACCCCACCATCACCCTGTTGCTGCAGGGGGTGCCAGACACGCAGAAACCTCCGTTGCCAAGGTGTGTCTGCATAGCACCTCTTCCATCCCTGGGGCCAAGGTCATGCCTGCCCAGGGGCAGTGTCCTGAGCAGCCTCTGACCCCGGCTGCTTGCTGCCCTCGCCCAGGTGACCACAGATCTGCGCCAGCGCTGCACTGATGGCCACACCGGGACCTCTGTTTCAGCCCCCATGGTGGCCGGCATCATCGCCTTGGCGCTGGAAGCAAAGTAAGTTCCCACCTACCTTCCCTCCTTTTCCTTTCTTTAAAAAAGTTTTTATTGTGGTAAAATACACATAACGTAAAATTTATGTTTTACGCACCATTTTAAGGGTGATGCTCATTAAGCACATTCACTGTTGAGTGACCGTTGCCGCCAGCCATCTGCAGAACATTTTCATCTGCCCAGACTGAAGCCCTGTACCCATCAGATAGCTTCCTGTGTGGTCTGCTGGGGCTGCCATAATGAAACACCACAGACGGGGCTTAAACAACAGAAACGTATGATCTCACAGTTCTGGAGGCTAGAGGTCTAAGATCGCGGTGTCGGCAAGGCTGTTTCCCTCTGAGGCCTCTCTCCTTGACGTGTCAGTGGTCACCTCCCCGTGTCCTCATGTGGCATCTGTGTGTGTATGTTTAGATCCTTCTATAAGGACACCAGTCATGTTGGATCAGGGCCCACCCTAATGACCCCATTTCACCTTAATTACAGACCCCCCCATCTCCATGTGCAGTCACGTCTGAGGTCCTGGGGGTCAGGGCCTCAACGTGTGATTTTGGGGAAGGGACGTGCAATGCAGCCCATAACACTCCCCATTTCCCCCTCACCCAGCTCCTGCCAACCACCGTTCTAGTTTCTGTCTTTATGAACCTGACTTCTCTCAGACTTCAGATTTGTGGGATCACACAGTGTTTGTCCTTCTGTGTCTGGCTCACTTCACTCAGCATAGTGTCCTCCAGGTTCACGTCAGGATTTCTCCTTAACGGGCATGAGTGGCTTCTTCCCTTCTCTCCCGTTTTCAAGCTCATAGTCTCCTGCCCTTCGTAGGAGCACAGGGAGCTGGGGGCGGGGGGGGTGCCCCAAGCCTGCACCGCACCTCCCGACCACACTTTAGGTTGATACAGCTGTCCTTTGTCAACTTTAGTTCATAAGTTGACAATACGGTGGTGATGATTTATCTGCTTTAAGCTGAACAAAAACCCTAGAGTTGTCAATGGGTGGATGGTTCAGAAAAAGAGAGTCTACTACACATACAGTCATGGGATCAAAAACAGATTTTAGTTTAAATATCAAAACTGGCTCAGAACACCCAGCCCTTTGAAGGAGTCATTTGCCGCAGGTGAGATTTTAAATGATTCAGCAGTTATATTTGGGTTACTGCAATCCTTCTAATTATGTATGTTTGCTCGTTGATTTGCATCAGGCGAAAGAGCGTAAAACTCAAATGCTAACCATTTCACAAAGAAAGAGCTAAATATGTTTGATTTTCAGGCCAAAATGATAGCTTCTGTGTCCTGAGGCTCATTTAAAAAATGCTAAATAGTTGCTTGTATGGAAAGTTGCTTTCACATACTTGGTGGTTGGTTGTTTTTATATTTTCTTTCCTTCCTTATTGGAAACACGGAAGGAGTTTTGTTAGTTGAAACTAAATAGGAAACAAACCCCGCTTTGTGCCGGATTGTCCCATTAAACTTGGCCTGTGGACTCATGAATTCCCCGATCACTGCCTCATCATTTTAGCTCATCCTCAGAATTTTACAGGTGGTAGGTCAAGCACACGTCATTGGAAACAGCGTCCACTTAGAGCATTTAAACACATAGGGTTGGTCCAGGAAGGAACTTGGTATAACTAGGGGCACTGCTGGCCTCAGCTGAGGGACTTTGGAGGCCGGGGTAGTGTCTGGGCAGCTTCTCACGTGTGCAGCAATTTTGCTGTGGAAGGAGGCCGGGCAAAGCCAGGTCACCTGGAGGGAGAAGCTCTCGGGGGTGCAGGAGGCCTGCGGGCAGCATGTGACAAGGATGAAGGAAGAGCCTTATGTGTGAGAACCACCCCCAAGGCCTAGCAATCCCTTCTTCATTTAAAAAAACATTTTAAACACCATTTCTTAGACATGTTTTCATACAACTGTATATGTGATTTTATTACTATTATCAAAAATGAAATGGAGTTTCTCCTAGTAAGATGGTTTCTCACATCCTCCCTTTCTAAACCCTTTCTGTGTCAGCTCTGAAGCTCAGGCTTCCTGGCATCTGTGCTGAGCTCCCGGGGGGCTGGCTTTCTCCATCTTGGGTGGACCCTGCGGATGTGAGGGGTGACGAGCCCGGCCAAGCAGGGGAAAGGGCGGCAGGCACATCTGCTGTCTGGAATCCAAAGCCTGTGTGTGCGCCTCTCCACCAGAGGGCAAGGCCGTGGGCCACTCAGGGCCTCAGATCCTCCTCTAACAGTGAGGCTGGCTGTGGTCCTCAGGAGGGCAGTGGATAAGGGGAGGATAGCAAGTCAGCTCGTGCCAAGAAAAGGTCTGGAAACTGTACTGATGGGAACAGTTGGGATAGGCAGCCAGGAGGCCACTGACTGGCCGGGGACCAGCACAGTGTCAAGAACGTGGTGGAGAAGTCAGGGGAAGCCAGGGCTAGAGCCCAGAGAGTGGGAGACCCCAGGGAGGAGGAGTACACAGGCCCCCCAGGACTCAAGCCACAGGTGAGCTTCTAGTACTAAAGCAGGCAAAGCATTTGTTGGGAAAGTAAAATAGTGCAGCTGCTGTGAAAAACAATGTGATGGTTCCTCAAAAAATGAAACAGAATTACCATATAATTTAACAATTCCACTTGTGAGTGTGCACCCAAAAGGACTGAGAGCAGAGACTCGAAGAGATATTTATACAGCCATGTTCACAGCAGCATTACTCACAATAGCAGAAGGTGGAAGCAACCCAGATGTCCATCGATAGATGAATGTGGTCTATGGAATGTCATTCGGCCTTGAGAAAGAAGGAGGTTCTGACCCCTGCAGCAACGTGGACGAACCTGGAGGACATTATGCTGAGTGAACTAAGCCAGTCACAGAAGGACAGGTACCTTGGGACTCCACTTCTGTGAGGCACCTGGAGTCATCAAATCCATAGAGACAGAAAGTAGGATGGCCTGGCCAGGGGCCTGGGGGAGGGATAGGGAGTGAGTGTTTGATGGGGCCAGAGGTTCAGTGGGTTAAGATGATCACGTCCTGGAGACGCACGGTGGTGATGGCTGCATAGCATGGTGAATGTGTTTAATGGCCCTGAACTGTACGCTTAAAAACGGTTGAGATGGTACATTTTATGTTACATATATTTGCAGACACACACACAAAGAGTGGGCAGTTGGAAAGATGCCTGTGAGAACTGGCCAGGGCCGGTGCTATTTAAGAAGAGGTGGCGAAGGCCACGTCCAGGGAGCTCCCGCTCTTTTTTTTTTTTTGGCTGTGCTGTGTGGCTTGCAGGATCTTAGTTCCCCAGCCAAGGATCGAACCCATGCCCCCTGCAGTGGAAGCACAGAGTCTTAACCACTGGACAGCCAGGGAAGTCCCCAGGGAGCTCCCATTCTTGTCTTTGATGCAGTCCTAGCACTGTGGACAGAGCAGGGTTCTGAGAGCATCGTTGTCAGGTGGATCCTGTTTTGAGGAGTGTTGAAAAGGCAAGCAGATGTATCTTAGTGTCCAAGATATCTCATCTCTGCATTTTTAATCGTGGGCAAGTGTTCTTTTAATGAAATGTTTCTACTCTGCACCAAAATGAATATATTGTTAATGTAGAATTACTAAAATCTCAAATTCTAGTGTGTGGGCAGTGGTCCTGGACATGGGGTCTGAGTAGGTGATGGCTGGGCGTGCCCCGGCCCACGGAATGCTCACTCACGTGGTAAAGACTAGTCCAGATTCTCCCAACACGTGCTGATACGTAAGGCTGTCCTCTCCCCGGGGCCAGAGTTTGCCATAGAGCCTCATACAGACTCAGGTGGATCGTGGTAGCAAGGCTAGGCTTTAACACTGTGGGTTTTTGGTCACCCATTGTACTATCTTATCTCAGGGTTTGATGACTAGAAACCATTCTTTACAAAGAGGTTGTGACGTTGACCCTTGACAAGGAGGGGAGCCTGCGGAGCCTTCCTCAAGTCCAGGCACGAGGCTGGCTCCCAGCGCCCCACCTCTGTTGGGCCTTGTGGCCGCCTTACAGACCCACATGAGTACAGCCGTCTGTCCTTGTGTCATTGCAGCAGCCAGCTGACCTGGAGGGACGTCCAGCACCTGCTGGTGAAGACGTCTAGGCCGGCCCACCTCAAAGCAAACGACTGGAAGGTGAACGGTGCTGGTCATAAAGGTGCGGCCAAGACTCCGGGGCTGGGTGGGTCCTGACCTCCTGGAGCCTGTATGGGTGGGGACATGAATTTCTCAAAAAGAACCCCCAAATAACATTAATTATGTGTCACGAGAATGAAAAGTAGAAATCCAGTAGTTTAATAAGGTCACTCAAGTTCTGGGCTTGCTAAGCCTCACGACTTCTGCCACGACAGGGGCCACCTGTACCAGTATTGACTTCATGGTTCTCTTTAAATGGGCTTGCCTATTTTTTTTTTTTTTTTTACACAAAGAAGTATATTTTAAAAGGAAGCTCTATTACATCTAGTTAATCATGGGTTTGATGTGTAGTTATGTTTTTTCTAATGCCCATTAAAACAAATCCATAATTATTAAGATAAATGATGTTTGCTTATGTGCCACCTAAGGACAACTTGCATTCTTAGCCCTGGGTAGCTCTACAATTTTGAAACTATCCCTCAGTTTCCTCACCTGTACAAGGAGGACATTGAGATAGTTATAGAAGTTACTTTCCAACTATAAAACTTCTGTCAGCAAGCCCTTGTGTTTTATAAGGGCTCTATCCCCATCATAGCCTGGGACAGACCCAGGTACCATGAAATCAACCCACAGTCCAGGCTTGTAACCCAGATATTTGGAGCCTCTTGAGCAGGTGATTATAGGACTGTGCCACTGGCTTTGTTTGCCTTGCTTCTTACCAGAGATACTTGAAAAAGATTTACATTCAGCCATGGTATGTTAGGGAGGACGTTTTTTTCCTTTTCTTTAGCTCAGGTCCAGCTATTTCGACACCAAGCCTGATACTACTCTTTGAAAAATATAGGTCAAGCATTGTTACCCTAAGTTCCGAGGGACATTCCTTTTAATAAGGAGGCCATTGATTAGGCCTGATGCATCTTTGTCTTGCAGGAATGTTTGTGGTAGTGGTGTGCTGTAACAAGAGCTGACCTACGTTTCAATTTTGGCCTAATTAAATAGGAAACGAGATTGTATCTAGTTCTTGACCCTGCCTCTTAAATTCAACTCTGAAACTCTCCTGCCTTGGCCAAATTAAACACCAGCTTGGGCCAGCCTGTGTGCTGGGTGATGCTGCTCTCCCTGAATGCCCTAGAAATTCAGCAGGGAGAGCAAATGGCAGAAGAGGTGAGCAGAGCCTTGTTTTATTGCACGTCATGGTTGTGTGAACTAAGGTGTCTCATGTTTTGCTTTTCATGTCTGGTTCAAAATTCGGGGAGCGCAGATGCCAGGAAGTCCCTTTAATATAAAGAAACTCGCCCTCATCTTATAAAAAGAAAGTACTAGGCCCCCTCAACACTTCCTTTATTTTGCGCCAAAATGGGACGTATTTTCTGGCCCTCACTCCTGACCTGAAAGAGTTGGGAGAGTAAAGCAGCTGGGAGTGTCCTCAGAAGGACGGGTGCTGTGGCCCGGGGCTCTCAGGCGCTGGCAGGGGCCCTGCAGGCCTGGAGGCACACAGGTGGCCTGTCCCCGGACGGTGGTGGCATTGGGGAGCTGGGTCTGAAGGCCCTGTCTTTTCAGTTAGCCACCTCTATGGATTTGGCTTGGTAGACGCGGACGCCCTCGTCATGGAGGCCAAGAAGTGGACTGCGGTGCCCCTGCAGCACAGCTGTGTCGCTGTCACAGACAAGAGGCCCAGGTGAGCTCGGCTCTTCCGGTGTGTCCTTTGGACTCTGCTGGAAGGTATTTCAGGGATGGGGGCGATAGGTGTTCACACACGCATTCCTGTGCACGTTGATGAGGACATGCGTGTGTGGGTGCGTGCAGTGCGTCTGTAAACAAGTCTGCATTTTTTCTTGTGGATTGTGAAGCAGGAAAAGGAATCGATTCTTAATCCAGTACTGTTCTGAGGCCTTTTGCTCTCATTGTAGTTAATTGCTCCATTCTGAGGCGTCCGTCCCTCAGCCTGAACCCCAGCCTAGGATTGGAACTTCTTAGCCATAATATTTAGCAGAGCCACCCAGACCTGGGAGCTGCCCTGCTGGCTGGGGGCGATGGGCAGCAGCACCAAGCAGCCTCCTAGAGGCTGGAGCCGTAGCTCTGGCAGCTCCACCGGCCCCAAGAGTCCGCAGTGAGACCCCATTGGTCCTGGACCAGGGTGGCAGCCCCGACTCCTTCTCTGTGGCAGGAGAGGGTTTAGTATCCAGGGAGCACAGCAGCACGGTGTCGCTTTTATCTGGACTCAGATAAGCTTAAGGTGTAAACACTGGGATTTTTTTTTTTTAACATCTTTATTGGAGTATAATTGCTTTACAATGCTGTGTTAGTTTCTGCTATATAGCAAAGTGAATCAGCTATATGTATACGTATATCCCCCATCCCCTCCCTCTTGCGTCTCCCTCCCACCCTCCCTATCCCACCCCTCTAGGTGGTCACAAAGCACTGAGCTGATCTCCCTGTGCTATGCGGCTGCTTCCCATGCCCCTCCAACTCTATTAACTAGAAAATGCAGAATTATTGTCACAAACTAGTACTGATATCAATACACAATTAGTCTTGCTTAATAACTCATTTTTTTTTTGCGTTACACGGGCCTCTCACTGTTGTGGCCTCTCCCGTTATGGGACACAGGCTCCGGACACGCAGGCTCAGCGGCCATGGCTCACGGGCCCAGCCGCTCCACGGCACATGGGATCCTCCCGGACCCGCGCACGAACCCGCGTCCCCTGCATCAGCAGGCGGACTCTCAACCACTGCGCCACCAGGGAAGCCCTCAAGTCCATTTTATATGTCTGTGTCTTTATTCCTGTCCTGCCCCTAGGTTCACCAGAACGTTTGTTTTTTTTGGGGGGGCGGGAATCCATATATATGTGTTAGCATATAGTATTTGTTTTTCTCTTTCTAACTTACTTCACTTTGTATGACAGACTTTAGGTCCATCCACCTCACTACAGATAATTCGATTTCATTTCTTTTTATGGCTGAGTAATATTCTGTTGTATATATATGCCATGTCTTCTTTATCCATTCATCTGTCAGTGGACACTTAGGCTGTTTCCGTGTCCTGGCTACTGTAAATAGTGCTACAGTGAACATTGTGGTACATGAGTCTTTTTGAATTATGGTTTTCTCAGGGTATATGCCCAGTAGTGGGATTGCTGGGTCATATGGCAGTTTTAAAAGAAATCTGTACGGAATTCCCTGGCAGTCCAGTGGTTAGGACTCCGCACTTCCACTGCAGGGGGCACAAGTTCAGTCCCTGATTGGGGAATTAACATCCCTCATGCTGCGTCGCATGGCCAAAAAAATCAGCTGTAAAGTAAATAAAATAGCAAGAATCCTATTCCGTTAGGAGAGGAAATCAGATTATTCTCCTGAATTCTGCTGTTGCCGCCGTCCGTTTTATCCTTTTCAGAATGGTGTTTCTCTAGGCTTTAAAACCTGATGAAGAATGGAATGCATTTCTTTATAACTGTTTATTACCGTTGGAAAATGTGTGTTTGAGAAAAAAAAGAAATGATGGGGTGATTAAAAGGGATTCTTGCTTTATCAACAAAGATAGATCATTCTCTTTGAGATCGCCCCTTCCTTAAAGGCATCTACCTCTTATAATATGCCCTTCTGCTATAAAATGTTGAGAAAAGTGTTTCTTGCTGATGCCTTGCATACAGTAGGAATTCAGAAAGTATTTGTTGGATGAATAGCCACAGAAGGATCTTTTGAAAAATTGCATTTCCCTCCTGCTGCTAATCGTGAAGACTGACTGCCGGGTTATCCCTCCAAGGCCTGAGGAGCTGGTAGGCCAGCAGGCGAGTCTCAGCCTTGACATTTGAAAGCATCGTTTCCTCTGGGGAGCCTTAACTGTCAAACTCAGGAGAAAGTGGAAGGTTTTCTGAGATTAAGAGGCCTTTTGCATTCTTTTGCTTGGTTATTTGGAAGACCCCTGGCACACAGGCACTCAAGCTCCAGGTTAGGTGGTGCTGGACTCGGGGGCTGGGTCCCACCCGCGAGGCTGCCCTCTGCCCTGCCGCGTCCAGGCTGCAGCCCTTCCTTTCCACTGGCCTCCCCGTTGGGGCAGCTCCTGAATGAAGCATTCTTCTGCTGCCAGAAATAGTTTTAAGATGGGGGAGTGGTGCCTAGGTGGCGAAGGGTTGTTTTTATTTTTATTTTATTTTGTTTTTTAAGTGCTGGTACATGGAGTCTAGACAGCATGGGTTGAGGGGCGCAGCCATACTACACAGTGTGACATTGTTCCTGTCCTTTGAGGAAAGGTCCCCGCAAATTCCAGCAGACGGGAAGAATCGCACTGCTGTTTCTAAGGGAAAATCATGTTTACGTTTAGCAGTTTCAGACTCTCTGGAATATTCAGCCAATCTGGTGTCCCAAACCTCAACTGCACATTCAGTTGTTCCCAAGGACATAAGGGCCGAGAGAGAGACAGACAGCCAAGTGCTCCCACGTGGAAGGCAGATACATGTTTAGCCCTGATAGCCTCATCTCCCGGCAGAGCTGCAGCCTGCCTGCCAGGGTCGCTTGAGCCAGGGCTGCTGAGCACCCCCAGTGCTTATGGCTGGTTTCCTTCATCAGGGTTCTTGTGTAGCTTTGCCTAAGCTGCTGGGACCCTTTAGCTTAAAGATGAAAAGGAAGTCTTCCCACACGCCTGCTTCTCCCTCTGCCTCTCCCTGCTCCCTCTCTGCAGGTGTTTCTTGATCTGGGGGTCCCCGGAGACGGCTGTCCACTGTCTTGGCCTCTTTCTGGTTTTTCCTTCTCATTGTGGAATCTTAGGATGCCGTGAATGTCCCAGACCTGGCTTCAGTGCTTCCTGTGGAGAAAAGCACAGAGAGAGGGAGGGAGGGAGGGGGGAGGGGGCCTCTTTGGCCGCCCTGTGCGGACCCATGTACCCATGGGACATGTTTCCCTGTCTTCCCTCCTGAGTATAAGGACCAGGCCACCCTACTGTGACCTTCAGAGAGCAGTGTTCCTTGCTATTAAGTGCAGGCGTCCTGGCAAGGACTGTGGCCACACTGCCAGTTCTGCGGTGACGTCTGAGCCAGGGGGCCTGGGTGTCCATGGTCACGTGCAGGGCAGGAATGAAGAGCACTGACATCCTTCTTAACTCCTTTGAGCCTCAGTTTCTTCATCTATGATGTGGGGATTTAAAACAGCTCCCAAACCTCACACCCTGGTTGGGGGTTTTGAATGAGTGAATATACACGGAGTGCTCAGAACAATGCCCGGCTCACAGTAAGGGCCTGATAATTGCCATGCATCACATTCACCTACGTATTTACAAGCAGAGTTGTTATAAAATGACATCACATGCAGTCTGGTTTGATGAAATACCAGAAAAGTAAACAGCATGTGGTCAGTGCACAGTTAATTCTTGAACATCTAGAAATAGATGGTCTGTTCTATAGATAAACCTAAATATTCAAAGCTTTTAGTTTTGAAGTATATTTTGTGTGGTGGGTGAGTTCTTTACTAAAAGACAAGCCACACTAAACCACAAGCTGTCAAGATGGTAATCTTCCAAACCTGCTGAAGCCGAAGACAAGTACATGAGTCCTCTGCTTTAGAGGACTCTGGCTGTCTTTCCAGCACCAAGTTAGGAGACATGGATGTCATAAACTGTTTTGCTGTCGCCTGGGTTTTTAAAGATGCAAGGGAAGTGCCGGCTAGAAGATACTTAAAAGCTGGGCCTCTTTTTCATTCACAGGAATTATACTAAGCTTGATTTTCTTCTTCACTTTTCTAGAAAGGCTATAAAAGTGTTCATTTTATCCTCCTCTGTCTGACACCCGCAGACTTTCAAATAATTCTGCACAGGCAGATGGCACTGGTCATGATCCTATTTACCTTCCTGCAATTGACAAAAGTTCTAAGGAGATTTAAAACCATCTGTGCCCAAGACCAGGCAAGAATGTCTTCCATGTGTGTTTGAATGTCACAACAGAGACTCGGTCTCAGCTCATATTTTCACGGGTGTCATCTGTAAGGCCCGTAACAAGCCATTCTCTATCACAGAAGTGCCCAGCGAGTTCAAGGGATTTCCCCTCCTGCTGCACCGACACTCAGCCCTCACTGAAAGCTGCATAGGCTGTGCTTTCCCCGTGGGTGCCTGAGAGGTGGGTCAGACACCACAGCCTGTTCCGTGGGGTGGGGGGGCTGTTCCGGGGTGGGGTGGGTGACAGGCTATAAAGAGACGGCCCAGGGAGATCTGGCAGCGCCTCGGAGTGGGGGGGCCTGGCCCCTCTTGTTCCTCGCCACGCCCACCCCTGCAGGCCCGTCTCTCCTGGCGGCCCCCTGACCTTCTCCACGACTCCAGGGACTTCTTACTGTCTCTCAGGCAGGGGATCCCGACAGAAAGAGGCTAAATCCCCCACCCCCAGTCCCTAGATGTACAGCATCCAGACTAGGGGTGTCCACATGGCCTTCCTTCAGAAGGGAACGAGCACAGCTTCCCCCGACGGGTCTGTGATGGCAGCCCCCAGCCCCCACCCATCACAGCCTCTCTCCTGCTGTGCTGCTGGCCTTTCTGCTCCTCTTGACCTGAGCCTGACTCTAGGGTGGGGGGCGGTGCTGGACAGAGCAGGCCGGCTGAGGGACACCAGCAGGGCCTGAGTGGTCCCCCAGGGCACAATGGGTGCCATGTGCATGTCTGAGCACAGGCTGGGTCCCGGGTAGGATCTGCAGAGAGGG